AAATAAATAAATAAATAATAATAGTTAATTTCTACTGAATCCTTTATTACTTTATTGAACGTTTAAGTGCCACATAAGCATTAACTCATTATAATCTCCATATTTTATAGAAATATCTAGTAAGAGAGGCTAAAAACTTATCCAAAGACTTGTTCAAATTTTTCTCCTTTGTTAAAGCTATACATTTTTCATTGCTAAAGCTGAATCGAAATTATTGCTAGCAGTAGGGAAAATGATTAGTAAATTAATTAATTTTCATTTTCATTTCAACCGTAATCATTTTTCATCTTAGCTAACCTCCTTTTATTAGTGTTATAGTGTGCTTTAACTTTTAATACTGGAAGTAAATTTGATATGCAGGAATCTAGCTCCAACAATATTTTTTGCATAACAGCATTTCCAATCAAGGGCATGGAGTTCATTTAAACGACTAAGTGAATATTCTTTGTTGTAAAAGTGTAAATATGACTCTAATTTATGAATTTGCCAATCGTTCTTCCTAGCTGAGGATTTTAATTTCTCTTTGGCTTCTAAATTCAACCCATTTCCTTTCTGGATTTCAAGGGCCTGCCTGCCTGCCTGGAGCTATGTTAGAGCAAATTTATAGGCTGTGGTAACATAACTCCTGTGCTGATGGACATTATTTTCATGAGATAACTAAATTTCTGGGTGAAAATACAACCTCATTGTATTACTTCTCATGTCATTTTCTTTTTACCGAATGTAAAAGAAGCTATTAGAAGACAGTGTTTTCTTCAAAAGAGAAGTATTAAAATGCAAAACGAAAAAGGCATATGAGCTGAAACATGCTTTCAAAAGCAAAGGTATGTTCAATAATTGTGAATTGGGCCATTATTATTCCGTTGAGGCCACTTTAACTTGTCATTCTACATGCAGGAGGTGGTAAGAGTTTAAATAAGTCAGGTGATACTTAAGCATTCTGCTCTTTTTGAAAGTTGTCTAAAAAGGAATCAATTGCTAACATGTTAATTAATTTAAATTTTATAGGATTATCCATGTCCAGATCCTTTAACTGTGCTCTGAAGCTGAAATTCATGCCAGGTAATACTATGATGTTTACAAATTCAAACTAATATTTTTGTTTATAATTCTCTTTGCAGATTCACAAACATTAGAATCACATAAAAAAATCCACACATGCAATTGAGAAGCAAAATAACAAACATGAGTAATCATTTTAGAATTGCAAGAGTTTCACCCCATTATGCCATTCACATTCCTTATGGTGACTTGGGGACCTCATATGACATCAAAACAAAAATGAGACTTTTGCCACTTTATTTTTTACAGCTCAGAAAATTTAAAAGAACATAAAAGGAAACAGTCCAGGACTTCCCAGACTAAAGTGTGAATACCGTCAGCAAATTCATGGCTTTGATTAAAGAACTCACCAGGAGTTCAGCTATTATACTCCATCTCATTCTTCCTTGAATTCACACTAAGTTAATATGGAATCAGGATTTGCAATTAACAGCAAAGTACCATGTAATATTTTGGCCGCTTATCAAAGAGACTGGCCTTTTTCACCAGCTGCATTGTCATCTATTTTAAGGGCAGAACAAAATAAAGTAAAAATTTCCTCTTATGTTCCTCTTAACGATCAAATTTCTATACCGGGTACAAATGAAAACATGCCAAAGAAACCTTTCTAAAGCAAGTAAGGGAATGGGATGCACCGAGGCTGGGAGACTAAGCTCGCTTCTGTAGCGATTTGGTGGGAGACAGGAACAGTCAGGGTTAGCAGGGAGCAATGGCAGAAGCCACAAGTCAGTAAGCCTGGCGGGGGGGGTGGAAATGGGGAAATAAACACTTTCAACTGCATTGTCTAAAATCAAATTGCTGTCCAGAAGGCAGGGGGGCAGGGAAGGCAGCTTCACAAGCAAAAATATAAACATAAAGGGTAGCTACCAAGAGAGTCATGTTTCTCAAAGACACACGCCTGTCAGCTTTCTCCTGTGGAAAGGGTTAAAGCTTTTAAATGAACTGGTGTGATAAATGCGAACTCAAAAGGACCAAAAAAAAAAAAAAAAAAAATGAATGTAGAATGATAAAAGTAAGTAGCAGGACCGAGGCTACCTCCAGTTCTCTGAGAATTCCTGATTGTCCACAGGTTTCCAAATCCTCCAGCGCTTGAGACCAGAAGTTCTCCTCTTGTTCGGCCTCTGCACTGTCGGAAGCCCCTGCAAAACTGTCGTCAAGAAACACAGGCTGAATTAGGAGCTTGCCAGACATAATTTGCTTTTTTTCTGTATCTGGATTCTCTCTCCTCCATCTCACACAAAAAAATAGAAAGAGATTCATTTGGGGTCTGGCTTTCTTCCAAATACGGCCTCCAAGTACAGTCAGCTCCAATGCGAGGGTGCTTTGGGAAATGCAAAGTGTCATGAAGAATGCAAGGAGGGTCCATGGTCTTACTAACCGAATTCCAGATTATTCCTGGCTACTGCTGAAGGAGCTGTGTCAAACATGGCCCTCTTGGAATGGAATGGAACATGGGAATATATTTCAGCTGCTATATCTACAGGGAAAGGTAAGTCTAATTTTTCTCTAAAAGAGAAAAATGTGTTTTTCCCACTTATTATAAAGATCATTATAAATAAATGCTATCATTTTTTATAAATTTCCCTAAAATGTTTTGGTAAGGAACAAAATGCTAAAATATACTTCTTTGCTGAAAATGTGGGACCCTTGATGTATCTTTCTTTTAAATATAACTTAATGTGAAATTTTTAAAAGAAAGGAGAGAGAGGTGGCTGTCACAGAGTGAGAACATAGTTTACAGAAGTAGATTTTCCCAGGTGCCACTATTGTTCTCATTAGGGGAAACTTCGCTCTTGCCCTGTTGTGTGGTGGTGCCCCGGTTGCCGCTGGTCAGGCATACGTTTTAGAATGCTGCCACGTGGCCAGCACGAGTGATTACGGTGGCTTCACGAAGCCCATGCTAACAATATGTGCCACTGGAAGTAGCAAAGTTCAAATCTTGCCCCGGTCTGGGCAAGATGGGGCAGAATCGGATGCAACCTTACCCACTGGCTGTGGACCGGTCCCAGTCTTCGTTACTCAGCCCCACATCTGGGTAAGTCTGGCTCCGAGGCTTAGACACTGGGGACAAACTGCCTCTCTGTTTCGGACTCCTCCAGTCATAGGTGTTGAAATTGTATGCTGGGGCCTGAAAGCCAGCGCCTAAAACATCGACAAGGTGTTAAACATCAATCTGCTTGTTAAAAGAGAGAAGCTTTAATTTGGTTTCAGTAAATAAAGTACAGTAGTGATTATAGGAATCCAGTGTGTTGAAGAAATGGAATAGTGTTTATATTTTGGAAACAGAAAGGAAAAGTCACTTAAGATGGTATGAAGTAATTAAATTCCTATGTCAATTGCCAAATAATTTAAATTTCTATATTTACCAAGCCCAAAAATAGATTGTGGCTGCCAGGATTCTAATTGGAGAGCTAAAGAAATAAACTTTTATAAGTATTAGATTTCTTAATGATCGTATTTTGCAGTTTTAGTAAAAGGGAAATACTATATGTTTATTAAATATACTTCTACCCATGTAACAAAAAGGTTAATTTCGCTGAATGTTTTACGTTGAAGTTACTTCGTAGATGTCATATCCCTGAAGTGCATTTAGATGAGATAGAAGGAATTGTTTTTCAAGAAGTTTAAGTACCAAAGGTAGTCTAGTCTAGAAAAATAATAAGTTAATAAATGTTGGCTTTTCTAATTTGTACTGTAACATCCTTATACTTTCTATTTTAAGTATATCTGTTTCTTAAGCAAACGACTTAGATATTTTCCCACACTTTTTTTTTTCTGATGCAGAGTTCAGGTTAATTAATATTTTACTGCATCTGATAATGTTTGAAGCCTAGTGATTTTTTATTTTGACATTCTTGTGATTTCATATGCTGTATTTCTTCAAGCAATAAAATTCTGATGTGTTTTATAAAAAAAAAAAAATTGGGCCTGGGGATTACTGAGTCCATTGGGAAATGACATTGTTAAACTAGAGGGGTTGAACAACAACAGCAACAATGATAATAGTTGTTTAATAATAATAAAATTATGATGACAATAATAATAACAATATGTGCTTATTATGCACCCAGGACTTCACTAAGTACTTTATTTGTATCACCTTATTCTTCACAACCATCTTTGAAGGTGGGTATCATTATTATTTGCAATTTGCAGATGAAGATACTAAAGGCTTAAAACAGTGGTTTCAAGTATTAATACCCAGGACCATTTGCAAACTGTCCTGGGAGTTCAAGCCATAATGTTAGGAGAATCAGTTTTCGGATCCTCCAGTTCCATACATACTACTTCCCAAACGCACTCAGCTGAGACAGTGCCAGGGGTCTGAGATCTGCCGGTTCTTCAAGCTCCCCTCCTCTTCAACAATTGTTCTTCTGCCACTCTACAAATGAAAGGCTTATTTCTCATCCTTCTCAAACCTTTGAAGGTGCTCGCGCCCTGGGATATAAACTCCCAGCTGGCAAATCAAGGAATAATTTGGAAAAGCCTTGCTCCTATGATGAGGTCTCTTGGGAGCAGGGCCTTATTTCAACCAGGCGCAAATTCCTGGCAAGGCTTTCACCCCTCTCTCTTACTCATCCGTCACTGTCTCAGAGCCAGAATTCAGAAGCATGATAGATGTAAGGGTTAGGAAGCTGGAACATTATTATTATGTTTATTTGAATTGCAAAATGAAGTCTGACTTTTTTCTCTGCCGGGGAGCTACATCTGATTAACTTGATGGGTGAGACAGTGAGGAATGGCTTTGGCAATTAGGTTATATAACGGACATTTTCCACGAATTTGAGCTGAATCTTTGGCTCCCAGATTTTGACAGAAATACATTTAAAGCTTATTTATAACAAACTGGAAATTATAGTCTTTGCAAGCATTTAAATTTTGGGAGAAAAACATTTAGACGGTGATTTTTAGTGTGTGGTGGGGTATACAGTTTTTCAAAATCCTTTGGGGGGGTTCAGCGGGAAGGCAGGGCCTTGATTCCAGGTGACTCCATGGCTTGTGCTGTAATCATCACACACTGCCTCACCCACCACTGCAGGCTGTGACTTGTGTGTGTGTGTGTTGTGTGTGTGTATGTGTTCACATGTGTGCACTAGATTGCAATGGGATATGTGTTTCTTACTGTGTTTAAAGCACTTACTATAGCATAAGCATTAACTGTTATGACCATTAAGCTCCCTGGGGAAATTCCTGGGCCCCCATTTTCAAGTACAACTAACTGCCCTGATCACATAAGATGATTCTGTCTCTGTGACATCCCTACTTCCTCTCCCTCGTTCACCTTCTCTCCACTGTTGTTGGATCCTATAATGCCTTCCTTGCTACTAGTTAGAGCCCAGGCAAAGCAGGATGTCCAGAGGATAATGCCCTCTGATGAAAAGGGTTTGATCTCAAGAACCCAGGGCAATGCCTCCCACCACATGATGGAAATACTCTATGAACCTTCTATTTTAGGACACCAAGGATTAGAAGTCCTTGAGCAGAGGGAATATTTACAGTTGAATAGCTCATTTTCTCTTTTTCTCAGATAACTGCAGAAGTGTGGCTAGCCACTTGGGAGGAAGTCTTGGGTGACGAATGTGCCATTTTCTGTCAAAAGTGTTGAATTAAGGAAGCCCATGAATCTTCTCTTGAAAGGAAGGGACTGAGGAACACTGAATTTCAGCCTGGCTCCCTCTGATGGACTATCCGTTTTCTCCATCAGAACCAAACAAATCAACCCCAGTATGTGACGTCTCACTTCTTGTGATACAAAAAGAGTTAGGAAAAGCCTGTACCTCACTTTCTTTATACGGCTTTGAACTTTCTAAGAGCCAAATGCTAATTGCTGTATCCTCCTGGAGTATCCTTTTCTGATAAACGTTAACCCGCGTGGCCATTAAGTTCCCTGGGGAAATCCTAATGTTTTAGACTTTCTGATTTTCTTTCCAACTGTTGTTGGTAAGTAGATGGGCTTGGGCGGAGCATAAGGTTGGGCTTGAGCAGATATGCAGCACTGTCAGTAGGAAAATGCCAGCCTTGAAAGGCATGTGCATCTCTAATAAGGATGCCCTGCCTTAGCAAGCACTAGCGATGGTTATTGCATTACAACCAAGCAGAGAATGAAAAGGGGATAAGATTCAGATCTCTTTGGGTGAGGCATAAAGTCAAAAGACCTGGGTCTGATCCCAACTCTTGCCTAGTCCACGCTATGTTGACCCAGAGATTAAAGTAAGAAAAGTAGCTGGGCATGGTGGTGTGGGCAGGCTGGGGCAAGAGGATCCCTTGAGCCCAGGAGTTCAAGACCAGCATGGGCAACATAGCAAAACCCCATCTCAAAAATAAATAAGATTTTTTTTTAAAGTTAAGAAAAGACTAAAGTTCATATCGCAGCTTAGTCACTTCTTTGCTTGGTAGCTTTGGCCAATAAACCTCAGTGTAAAATGGGGATAATGATAGGTAGTTTAGCAGGTTGATAAGAGAATTAAGGAGTATGAATATTCCTGAACACTTAGGAAAATGCCTAGAACACGATGAGATTTTAATTAACATAGGCGTACACTGTGATTATATACTAAGCCATTCAACTCCTTAAGATATCAATTTCCTTATTTATAAAAAAGTGGGGAGACTAGGAGAGGAGGTAAGCCCCAGCACTACCAATGCAGTAAGTGTCTGAGTGTCTCCTAAGTGTTAGATGTTATATGAGGAACTAACGTACAAAGATAAATAAAACTAGCTTCCTGTCCTCAAAAACCACACAGTTTGGTACACGGATAGGAGGAGAAGAAATAGGCATAGAAAGTATGAATTCTAATAGCACATGAATGTGCTATCCTTGTAGTCTGAATACACTAATGTGGAGGAACAGAGACCTGTCTGGGGGTTGGAACGTGGAACATGAAAGGTGCCAAAGGAAAAATGACAAACAAGCTTGGAATTAGAGAACGAGCTGGCATTTACTAGGAACAGGTGTTGGGTGAGACTGGGTTGGCCAAGCAGAAGAGAGCCTGGTAAAGCTGTAGTCATGGTAAACACTGCTTCCTGTCCTCAATTCTATCCGTGGGCTTCTGCTCTACTCCTAAGGAGGGAAAAGCATTCCAGGAATATTCTAGTCCCTCTTACCATCTGTACTTACTCCTCCCCACAGGAGTCATGCGATTTACCTAATCCGCAAGTTTTGGAAAAGAACACCGGGCATGCCACTCAGCCCCTTCCGCCTTCCTCTGGACTCATTCTCTCACACTGTTGCTGTGCTGTGCAGTAAGCAAATCTGGGTCCCATTCTTGAGCCCCTCTGAGCTAGGTGGAGGCAGGAAGGTTTGACTGGGCAGTTAGGTAACCGTGGCAGACTACGTTCATTCTCCCCTTCATCCTTAGTACCAGAATATCAGTTTTGGGGTGGGCAAATTATTGCTCAGACTAAAACTATTTTTCTTAGCCTCCCTCAAAGCTAGATGTAACTCTGTGAGACATTCTGGTCAATGACATGGCTAAGGGGACTTCTGAGGAGGTCCCTTACAACCCTTGTTCCTGCTGCTTGGAATGCAAATGAAATAGCTGGCGCCTCAGTAACTATCTTGGACCATGAGGTGACTCCAAGGATGCAAGCCAAATGCTAAGCATAATAGAGCAGAAATATTTAGGAGCATGGGTCCCTAATGACACTGTAGAGTTATATACCAGCTCTGAAGTGCCTACTTCTTTAAAATTTAGGTCACTATATTGTTGGGGTTTTTGGTTCTATTAAGTTCTATTAAATTTAAGTCCCAATGTCTAGACCTGGGTTGTGGGTAGGGAAATAATAATCCTGATTCTGGCCACAGGACCAATCCAGCTTTTCTAGCAAATAAATAAAATAAAATAAAATGCTGATATTTTAATTCATAGCTGACTCTAATTTCTATTTCTCAATGGATTTAGAATTGATAAAGGAAGGAGTGGATTAACATATAAAAACACCTAGTGCTAACAACATAGCAAGGACCAAAGCTTGCTTAGAGGACAGTGACAAGTCCAGGGTGTGTGTAGGAAAGGGTACAGCAAAGAAGTATCAGAAGATGAGACTGACAGAGTAGGTGGGGACTAGATTACAAAGAACTCTGTGTTTTAAACTAAGGACCTTTGACTTTATCCTATAACAACAGAGAACCATCAAGAGAG